TACCAATGCCTGACCAAAGAGCTATTACGATCGCCGAAGCAATAGCTAACAACTTCATAGCTATTTATGGGTGTCCCAAAGTCATGTTAACAGATCAGGGCACAAAATTTCAGAGTAAAATACTAAACCATTGGGCAAGAATTTTCAAAATTAACCACGTAACAACTTCAGGATACAGACCAGAGTCAAATGGTTCATTAGAGAGGAGTCATCATTCTCTAGTAGAATACCTAAAAGTTTTCTGCAAGGAATACAATGACTGGGATGCTCTATTACCATTTGCTATGTTTTCATATAATACAATGGTTCATAGTGCTACGAAGTATACACCCTATGAACTTGTATATGGTAGACGCGCCCGCATGCCCACGGCTCTGAGTGAAACAAAAGGCATTGAGACGTACGAAGATTATCTAGTCGATTTTATCGGAAGATTGGAGGCAACGCAAATCAAGGCTGCCGAAAATCTAATAAATGCTAAAAATAAATCCAAAAAGAACTACGACAAAAACGCGAAATTTGTAGAATTTAAAGCGGGCGACTTTGTCTATGTCCAAAAAGAGCCCCGAATTAACAAATTCGATGCCCATTATACCGGGCCCTATGAAGTAGTAGCTTTGACACCACGAGGAAATGTGGTGATAGAACTAGATAATGGATTGAGGCGCAAGAAACATCCAAACAAATTGAAAAAGTGTCATGAATAATCATCACACTCTCTCAATTAATACCATCCTAAGCTCACCACACAATTACTAACACTGAGGACTGAGCAAACAGTTCGACAACAAATAACTTTCTGTACAGGTGCCAGCCAAGATGGAAGTCCTGCTTACACTGATCACCTTGTTGGAAGTGGTTAGTCCGACCATCCAAGGATTCAAGGTGAACCCTCGCTATGAGATACAGCAACTGGAAAACAACCCGGGAATTTATTACGAGCCCATGAAGCCAATCAGGATGTCGACAGCAACCTGGAAATTGACAGTCACCATCGATGTTCAAGGCGTAGTAGACGCACACCAGACCAACTGGGATAAGGTGAATCAGCTTCTAGAAGCCTGTACAAATCTAACCCAGAATGACGCGGGCTGTAAAAATGCCTTGAGAGTAACCAGAATTAAAACCTTGGAAGAGGAAGCTGAGAAAACTCAACAACATCTCAAAGCCTTGCTGAGAAGTGAGGAGGCGCCAAGAAGATACCGTAGAGCGCCCATATTTGGGTTCATCTCGAGAATACTGGGACCAATAATAGGGACAACTGACTACGAGGAGCATGAACACCTGGTTGAACAAGTCAAGAAGCTGTACGAAGATAAAGAGCAGATAGCCAAGGTGATGAACGGAAGCATTCACATGATCCAGTCAGAGATAGACCAGAATAGGCAATATCTTAACACCACCAACGCAAATGTTGAAATCTTGCGGAAAGACGCAGTTATGCTTTCGAAGGGACTACAGAGATCCCTCGACCGGCTTGAAAGACTGGAGGCAGTGATCCAGTTCACTCACGTAGGTTCTCTACTCGTTGAGACAGGAACTCACTACATCGACACTCTGAGGAAAACTACAAGAGCAATTGAAGATGCCAAACACGAGGAAATCAGCGCAGACCTTGTCACACACGAACAACTGGCGCAAATGGTAAGACAGTTGGAAACAAGGAACTTAGGGGCAGATCTACCACTCAACATAAACAGCCCGGACCTGGGCCTACTCTCACGAATTAGCAACATTCACCTGTTACATTCGGAAGGAAAGTTTATCGCGATCATTGTAATACCCTTAATGGAGAGAGGATCATTAAAACTCTACCGAATGATTCCGTGCAAGACCCCGCAGATGCTAGTGGGGAACGTGACCGGGTCAGCCTTCATACAACCACAAACCAGATACATCGTGGTTGCTCTGGACAACCAACACTTTTTCCCAGCCACAGAAGAATACTTCCGGAAATGCGTGCAGGTAGAGGCATCATATCTATGCCCAATGCACGCCATGCAGCACCAACATGAGATGCCCACCTGGGAAATAGGACTACTACTACATCCCAACTTGGAAACAATGAGAACCTGTGATGTCAAGATTCTAAGGACACACAAAACCCAATGGACGTGGTTAGAAGAGTCACACACATGGCTATTCTCCACAGCGGTACCAACCTCACTGAACGTGGTATGTCAGGACTTGGAAAGCTTCACGATCAAGATAGTAAACACCGGAATCCTAAATCTTCGGGGAAGCTGCGAAGCACACACGACCTCAGATGTGATAAAAAGCACAGGAATAGCAGAAACCAAACTGGCGGAACTCCATGTTGCACCGATGAATCTTGATTTGTCGGTGTTATCACCGAATAAGACGCGGGAAATCCAAGTACCAGACTTGTTGAGAACAATAAAATTAGATCCGTTGCCAAACAACACCCATATAACTGACATGGCAACCTACCAACACACGTTAGACATGATCGCAAACCACAAGATGGAGGATTATAAAAGTGATTCCATCCACATGGGAATGACCAGTATAATCGGATCTACCACGACAATTGTCACCATCGTAGTAATCGTCTTGCTGTGCAAAATGGGGGCATGCAACGCAGCCACAAAAACCTGCTGCCAAAAAGAGCCGGAAAGAACCTTCCCACCGCAACCAGTAATCACGGCGCCACGGGTGAGGTACGAACCAGAGGAGCAACGAGTGGAAGTCATCCAATTACGACCACAAGCACCAACACCACAAACTCCCCAACCATCAATTGTAGTTCAGGGAAACGTCAATCAGGGTTTCCATCTCCCGCTTCCATACTAGAAAGTAAACCCAAGTAAGGAACATTGTCTACTGGGATAACGAAAAACCCTCATAGTGGCGTTTCGTCATGCCAGTACACAATAAAGATTAGAATAATACTAATCGCTAAAAAAAAAAAAAAAAATGCCCTTAAATTCTAGACAGGATAAAACCAGTGAGAAGACAAGGTTCAAGAAAAAAATATATATATATATTAAAAACAATCAGAACACAAGTTACACATTCATAAATTCAAAAATCAGAAAAAAAAAAAACTATATATATATATTTGTGAGCAGGGGGGGGGCCTTCCGCCCCATCATAGGCCGCCACGGCGAGGCAACCGGGTCCCAGAAACTGCTAAATCCTATTAACAAAAAAAAAAATAAACGGTATATATATCATATTATATAGATATAATTTGATATGCATAGCGCCAAAAAAGCTGACAAAAAACGTTACATGCTTTTTTTTAACGGGATAACAATAAATCCTATTCGCTTCCTAACTGTCGCGTCGCCATCTAGCGCCGTATTCCTTCATTAGTTACGGCCGCGAGTTCTTGCCGTGGCTGCCGCTGGCGCATGGGTTCGCGCGTCACCCCTGCGTACAGCGTTTCCCTTCTTGGTTCCCCCTTTTTTCCGGTTTCCCTTTTGCCTGTCACGATATAGACGCTTCATTTGATTTGAAACGTCACGTCGGCAACATGTTTCTTGACGATTTGTCAATCGAAGGGAGACCTATTCGCAGTGTGGAGGTACTACTTGTGTTTTTTTGTGCTTCAGTTCGTCGTTTTGGTGTTTCGGCGTCCTTTTTTGTTCGTGTGAAGTGTTTAATTAATTAAAAAAATTTTCCAGATACCTACGCCGGAGGAAAATGAGCGGGAGATCGCTCGGGACATGAGGGTGGATTACCCTTTGGTGAGGACCTTCCTGCTATTTTGTAACGAGGGTGTCATTACGTTTGATCGGGTGAGTTTTCTTCTGTTCCATTTAATCCTCCCCCCCCCCTCTTGGTGTTATCGCCTTTTCCCTTTGTTTTACCCCCTTTTTTTTCTATTTTCAGGAGCTGCGACTAGATTGGGAGCGTTATGCACGCTACCTTTCTAGCGTGGGCCGCCCCCATCTAGCTTTCTATGTGCGAAGGCACTTTATCCATTTTTCGACTGCAGCCAGGTTGATTTTAAATCATCGCCTGGGCTACGCTGGACAATTGGAGTGACGTCGGACCAATCATCTCTGCGGAATGCGGGGGTGTCGGGTTTCGCGCGATAGCGGCCCAGCGCGGAAGAACGTGGTATGAATACCCATAGATCTTTTTACTTATATCGATAATTCTTTCCCTCTTTCGTTTTTTATCCCTTCCCCCTTTTCATTTTCAGGATCGTCAGGGGGTGGAGGTAGCGACGGAAGGGTGGCTCTCTTCGGCCATTGCCTCTCACCTAGGCTCTCGCTGGGGCAGGGATCCCAGAGTGCCGTTGCTTTTTACTCTTCTTTGGCTCTCCGTTTGGGCCCATTATCGTCGTGTTTTCATGATTAGCGCTCCGCGTGCTAAAGAACGAGGCCGCGTTTTACGTTTTTGGTTGGGGGCGGATTTCTGCCTCCCCCAGCTTTTCATCGAGCCTCCTTGTCCAACGGTGAGTCTAGTTGTGGCCCCTTTTCCTTTGGTTATTTTGTGTTTTATTATTTATCATTTTTTTTCTATCATAGGCACCTCGTTTGTTCGTATATGGGGATGATCCGCTCGAGTATCTTCGGTATCTGTGCGATGATCCGACTCTGGGCGAAGAGATCGTTGACGAACACTTCTGGTTCAAGTATTTTGAGTGGGTACGAGGGGATGATTGTAAGCACTATTTTTATCCTCGCTGTTTTCTTTTTATGGAGGTCGAATTTTTAATTTTACCTTCCTGTTTTCCATCTAGAGTGCTGTCCCCGACTTCACTCTAATCTAGGGCATACTTGTCCTTGTATGGACAGAAAGGGACGGCGAAAAGAGAAGAAAATTCAAACCGGATTTGATGTTAATTAAGGAGAAAACAAAAAATTTTAAGGAGTGAGAGGAAAGGGAAAGGAAAAAAAAATAATAATCGGAAAAATAGCTCTTTTAGTCCTCTAATTCCCGTATTCGGGAATTTCTGCACCTTGTCCCGATGTATTATACGCGATCCCCTTTCCGTCTGGATCCTGATATTATTCCTTTCCATCAGTTCCAATATGCGATACGGTCCTTTCTAATCATCATCTCGTTTTCCGGTCTTTGGTTCCTTTTGAATCCAAATATGGTTTCCCACGCCAATTGTCTCCATCTTGGTCTTTCGATCGTAGTACCTCTTCGATTTTTCCTTAGATTTGATAAGGTTTATTCTGACTTTTTCACGGACTCTTCTTAGTCCTTTCGTTATTTCGTTGAATAGTTGGCTATAGGGTTTTCCCCCTATGCCTTCCAATGACTTTGCTGATGGTACCCGTGGCTTCACTCTAAAAACCAGCCCGTGGGGAGCGTAGCCGGTGCTGTCGTGAACACTGGCGTTGTACGCGAACATCGCCATATCCGTCCATTTGTCCCAATCTCTACTGTCTCCAATTTGAGTTTTCAGGGATTCAGTGAGGACATGGTGACTGCTCTCGAGACACCCGTTGGACTGAGGATGGTGTGCCTTCGTGAGGCATTGGCGGTTCCGAAATAATTTCCAGAATTCTGCCATCATCGTGCTCGTGAAGTTGGTCCCTCTGTCGACAACAGGGCTAGTGGTGCTCCAAACCTGCAGATCAACCTTCGGGCCGTGGCACGGGCTACTTCCTCCCCCGTCTGGGTGTGTAAGGGCACAGCAAGAGCGTATTTTGTCAGGCAATCCTGCATGGTCAGTAGATACACATGTCCCCTGTTGCTCCGGCCTGATGGTTCATAAATATCCATCGAAACCTTTTCGAAAGCATCTACTGGTGTCTCTGTCATGATCATCGGGTGCCGAGCTGTTTCCCTCACAAGTTTTTTTCTTTTACACATAGGACAGGTGTTAATGTATTCCCGTATTGTCTGGGCCATAATTTTCCCGTCATACTGGGAGGCCACTTCGTACAGTGTTTTGGTGATGCCCTTGTGTCCTTCCACTTCTGAGGCATGTTTTTCCTCGATGATGGAAATTCGATCCTGCCTCGTTGGCACTTCCAATAATCTCGCGCACAATACTAATTGAACGTTGCTTCCTTTTAATTTTTCTTTTAGCCGCACTCTGATGAATCTACGTAATTTCTCTGTTAATCACTCGCAGTCCTGGGCCATGCGGATCGTTTCCAGCACTTCGGCAAGCAATCTATCTACGAAGGTATCTAGTGCCCTTTTCACATTCCCCTCAACCATCTCAGATTCTGGATTGTCTTTGGCGACGAGCCCAAAACCAACCCTCCCAGCTTTTTCCAGCCGGATGACTTCTCCGGACTGGTGTACCTGAGCTGTCAGTTGAGCCAACTGTACCCAGTCCCTCTCGATCAGTACCTTCAGACAACTGTTGTCTGGGTCTCCGGTTGCGGGGAGGAAGAATGCGAAATGTGCCTTCTCGCTGGTCAGATGTGTTCGAGAGTATAGGACGTTTTCGTCATTCTCTTCATCCGAGAAGGTGTGTGCCACAGGATCGTCATCGGGTTGGAGAGGTTCCTCTTCCTCGGTTCCGTCGGTATCCGTTGGAAACTCCCATGGGTGGCTTCTAGCATCTCCCGAGGGCTCATCGTGATCTGTTTCCTCCGCGATGGTCTCTCCTCTTTGTGGACTTTCCCGTGTCCTAGTCACCGATCCGGGCGCATCCGAGTCTCTAAGGATATCTTCTTCATCCTCAGATAGATTTACTGACTCCTCCCGGGGATCATACAAGCTGCTATGGTCGCTTTCGGGTTCATCCTCTTCCCTCGAGCTTGGTTCAAGACTGATTGTTGGGGTGACCTCGGCTTTTTTCGGCCGTTTCATCGGTTCTTCGGCCACCCCTTCTGCTGGCCTCTTCCGTGGTCGTCCCCGCTTTCTCCGGGGTTGCGGTTGCTCATTGATGGTGTTCGAGGAAAATGTCATTGTTGACCTCGAAGGCGCCTGAGCGCTTCCCTGGGGGCTTACATCTAGTTGCCCTGTCTCGTCCGTCAAGCTGGGAGGTTCCGGGTTTATTGACATTACCCGACATTTAGGCACGTGGGTTGTCTCATTTCCTATCCTTACCCGAATGAATTCGTGAGATAAAACTGCAGTGATCACGTGCGGTCCCACTGTGCACTACAGCGAGGCGGTTTTATACCAGAGCAAATCCCCGATGTCCATTTCTGGATAGTCTGGTGGCGGTTCCTGGTCGTCGGGAAGTTTGTCATCCGGGGGATCGTTGACTGCCACTATGTATTCCCCCCTGGCGATGTCTAGCCTTGTTCCTCGCATCACCAATATCTTATCATCGGGCCACATTGACTCCACGACACATGGACCGACTCTTAGACCGCTCGGTATGACGACATACCATACGGCATCTCCGACTTTAATTTCATTTATCCTTGGGTTTATTGTACTCACTACAGCAACGTTCCTCTCTTGAGCCTCCTTGATATCACCATCCGGTATTGGGTTACGCGATAAGGCGTCGGCGTTGAGATTTGTTTTCCCCGGCTTATATTTGACATTGTAGTTATACTCATCTAATTCGTTCGCCCATCGACGCAATTCCGCTCCCGGATCCTTGATAGATTTCAGCCACACCAATGGCTGTTGGTCGGTCACCGGCGTAAATTCGTGGCCATACACGTATGGGCGAAATTGTCGGACAGCGAAAATGATGGCTAGCAGTTCCTTTTTCGTAGTCGTATAATTTTTTTCACCCTTCATCATCACTCGGGATGCGTAGCATATAGGCAGATCCTTGCCTATTTCCCCTTCACTCAGAATCGCGCCGACGGCGAAATCCGATGCGTCCGTGGTGATGAGGAATGGTCGGGTGAAATCGGGATGCCTTAGTATTGGATAAGAAGCTTGTTGCTGTCTCTCGCCCCACTCAAATGCAACGTCGTTTTTTAGTAATTCGGTGAGGGGTCGCGTTTTTCCCGCGAAATTATCGATAAATCTGCGGTAATACCCGGCCAACCCGATGAATTGGCGAATTCCCTTTTGTTTCGCGGGCCTTGGATATTTTAGAATCAGCTCAATTGTCTTCGGGCTTAGTTTGATTCCATCCTTACTGATACAGTACCCTAAAAATGTTACCTCTTCTCATAGGAATTTACATTTTTCCGGGCTTAAACTCATCTGGACCTCATGCAGTCGGTCCACGAACTGCTTATACCACACCCTGTGTTCTTCAATAGATTTCCCGTAGACAACGATATCATCCATGTAAACAAATAGTCCTGCCCCTTGTAACCCGGATAACACCATATCCATGGCTCGTTGGAACGCCGGCGGACTATTTGCTATGCCCATTGGTATCCGTGTGTACTGAAAATGTCCCTTGGGAGTAAAAAACGGGGTTTTTAGCCGACTTTCTGGAGCTAGCGGGATTTGGTGAAGACCTGACACTAAATCGAAGGTGGAGAAGTACCTCACACCCCTTAGCTGATCTAATATATCCGTAAGGGTAGGTAGGGGGTACGCATCAGTCATCATTTTTTCGTTGAGCCGACGGAAGTCGACTACCATGCGCCAACGTCTTTCCCCGTCGGGCCCTGGTTTTTTCGGGGGCATCCAGGCAGGCGAGTTGTATGGTGAATCTGAGGGCTCAACGATGCCGTCTCTGATCATGGTGTTCACCTGTTCGTCAGCCTTGTTTCTGAGATGGAAGAGTAGCGTAAACTCTTTAACATATATCGGGTCGTCATCTTTTACTTTGAGCTTGTATCCTCTCACTTGGGCTTCCTGGAGCTTTTCCCCAGCCACTTGATATACCCACGGGTTGTACCAGACGAGTTCCCTAGCTTCCTCCTGTTCTTCTTGATTTAATCCTTCCAAACGCAGACAATTAATGACCTCCTCAGCCCTGTTTCGGCTTTTCCGATTGTGGTCATTCGCCGTGATTCCCTTAAATGCCTTAATATCCGCCTGTGTCGCAATGCTCTCAATTTCCTCCAATTGGATCAACGGAACCTTGAATTTTTCTGCTGTTTCAAGGGTGTTATAGGCATACATGTACGCGACCCCCCCTCTCGGCTTCCTATGGCCACGCCGAAATATACTCCAGGCTTCACATCTTTGCGAGGAATATACCCGACCGGGGAATCGAATTTGTTTACCCTGGCATAGACGAGTTTCACCGTTCTAGGCGGAAGCAGTATCGACTCCGTATTCGTAAAGGGGTGTACCTTGTACGCTATCATCAGTGAATCCTCCCCATAGTCAATTCTGATCGCTCTACACTTCAAGAATGGTCTCCCTAATTAGCCCATCTTCTAGCAAGGGAAAGTTGGGATCTACGACATGAAACGTGTCTTCTACTCCCTCGACGTTGAGTCTCACGTGTCTACTAGTTTCAATTTTTCCTGGTGTAACACCCTTTACTATAATTACTTCTGACTCATCAATTTTTACCCGTGGGTGCAGCCTATCTGATCTCACTAAGTTAATTTCGGCCCAGTGTCGCCAAAAAATCGTGCCTCCCCCTTCTTCATTTTTCCCACTTGTAAATGTACTGGGGGGGGGGGGGGGGTGTTACATCTAATACCTTGCAATCGATAAGAGCGGTTTTGAGGACTATTCCCTTCTGCGCCACTGACGCTACCCTTCCATGGAGTCCGGTGTCGCGTGATACCTCCGGACTCTTGTCTAGTTTAAATTACTGGTAGATCCATGGGCAGGCTCCTGTGCATTTTGCGAGGCCCTCCCCTTTTTTCCTCGTTAGTTGCTTCCAAAAACTCTCTTGGGGCTCTTGGGACCGTTGCGGGTGCTGTGCATTCGCGAGCGAAATGGCCTATCTCTTGACAGCGATAACAGAGGGATCTAGAGGGATCGCGTTTTTCCCTCCGAGGTTGATTTGAGTTCCCCTGGTCTCGCTGTCCTTCCCTGGGGTGATTTTGACGTTCCCCGTTT